TTTTGTCCAGTCATTCACATACTACTTATTATCAAATATATATATATAACACCGGCTTGAGAACAAGCCATTCATCACCACAGAGAAGCAATTACCGGTATAAATGTTTCGCTCACGTGGTCCACTTGGTACGGGAAAGCACACTTCAAAAAAGGAAAGCACAAAGTGAATAAACAGTAGCACCTTGTTCGACGTAACCTACCTCCGACCCGGTAATCGATGTCGGATATGCATTCTTGGTAACTCCAATGGCACGACCCAAGGTAGAAGGTGTCTTCACAGCTGGTTGAATAGAAAAAGAGGGTAAACATTGGTTCATGTGAAGACCTCTCAGATTTGATTACCGCAATCACGCGCTAAATCAGCGAAGGTTAACTGAAATACACACTACTAAAACGCGTCGTAATATAGACCGAGGTTTCCTGATAATGACATAGGTGCCGTTTTTATTAAACTTCAGCAGATCCTACTAATCGAATCAAAAGTTGATCTGATGTTCAAGAATATTATGAAAGCTGGTCTCAAACAGGTGCGTGGGTGTTTAAGGAGTTAGTAGTCAATACCCGAGCAAAATAAAACATTTCCTCACGGATTTACTTATTCCTAGGGTAAGCCATGAACTGGTCTCATAATGGCTTAAACGCAATACACAAACGTCCTTAAATTTACATTGTTTTTTCCTAAAATAACAAATTAGGATGGAATTTTCGGCGCAGTGATTACCATCCGCTTTCGTGTGGAGGGAGAGCAGGATATCAGCTGTTTATGCCAGTCAGTCGTTTTGAATACTACGCGTAAAAATGGGAACATCGCAAATTGTGGTACAAGGTCCTCTCTCAAGAAGCCTAACACGATCTATGAAACCGGTTCTATTGATCAGGGTTTTCATACCTTCATGCTAGATCATAGTGATCTTCGCAGAGTTGAATTAGGCGATTTCTGTTATTCATGGATCCCATTTGAGCATCACCGGTGACTAATACGACGTCCACTGACCGAATCATGTGAATTAAGTGAGAAAATTGCTTATAAAACCAATTATTCATGTCTTTATACACGAATGATAAATAAGCACCACCGCTTCGTTCTCTAATTGTTCACCAGTAATGAATTACCGCAGTCGGTTACTAACTGGAAGCCGGTCAAGCGAGCGCTCCGCCTTGACATTTGGTGTCATCCTGACACCAACAACAGCGTAAGCGTCAGATGGCGATTCAAATGACACACGGAAAGTGAGGCGGGAAGAGATTACTTAGAAAATGAATCGATCGGTTTCAGTAACTAGCCGTAAAGTTAGCAAACGGTAAAAAGGATCGTTTGGATGGAACTGAGATGGTAAACAACGGTGATGCTTGTAGACGGAATATTCTTTAACGGATACAAGACAATTTTGAGAGAATGCGTTAAAAGTTTGAATATTCCCACGATGACATTGGGGAAACGAGTCGGTGAGCGAACAATTGTTTACGGCTATTCCTAGTCATGCTCTTACATATCATATAGTGGAAAAATGCTTATATCATAACAACCACTGGCTCAAGTTAAGGTTATAATTCGGAGGCAGAGAGTAGAGGGTCTGCGTGTGTGTGGAAAAACATTCAGTGTGTTAGTTTATGCGACCTTTCTTCACTTGGATCAAGTGACATATCACGTTCATGTTTTGGTTTTCACATCGGGCCAGGGCAATTTAAGCACTTAAGTTAGTCTTTTTGGGCACACAGGTTGGGGCCTAGTAAATGGATGGCGATCGCCTCGGCCATCCAACCTCGAGCCGCCCACGATCGATTAAGTGGGATGCGATAAACAGCATCGAACACTTTCTCTGGTTCGATATTGTGCCCAGGGTCGACGACCGAGCTTGAGTTACCGCCCGTTTTTCCTTGACTTAACCATAGCTGGTGGTGCTCCTAATGCGCTGAGACGCACGTCTTACCGTACGACCTATGGAACATGAGCCACAGACGCATTTAAAAAAGTAAGCTATCATGGATGAGGTCAGTTTCGGCAGTTTGTTTTTCACTTACATTCGCATCGCGGGTGATATAGAAAACAGTAGCCTAAGTTTGGCTGCCGTTCTTAGTACGTCCTTTCCTCTCTGCCTCCGATTAATGACCTTAAATTGAGCCAATAGCTATCCTCATGTAGGCATTTTCCCACTGTATTATATGTACCAGCAGGACTAAGAATATCCAAAAACAATTGCTTGTTCACCGATTCCTTTTCAGAATGCATCAGGTTTGTAAAAACACGAAAGATAATCAATTTGAAATTAGGAAAGTTTGAAAAATTATAATGGATGAAACGACTGTTTGGCTGTCCTAATGTGAATGGAAAGTCAATTTTTGTGTACGATGGTCGACTTCAAGTAAAGCGTTTGTGTCCAGGAAGCCCTTGTTCAAGAAGACCGCAAGTAACTTTTCTACATTTGTGACACGCAACTTACAGCACTGAATTAGGAGCAACACGTTGCTTCTCTCGTATTTTGTTCAACTAATTCAATCCTAATTTTAGTTATCTTGCCTGTAAATCACACGAAACCCTATATGTTAACGCTTGTCGCATTCCCTTTTTCTATATTTTACTGTATTGTATTATCACTAATTTTAGGAGCTTGTAAGCTTTAATTTCAGTCAACATCGTCCATTTAGCAGAATTTGAACAGGGCAAGGAACACAATCAGACCATGTGCAGAATCAGGGCGGAAAAGAGAGAAAATGCTTTCGCTAATTGAGAGGGATTATGCAAGAGATAATGCTTTGATGAAGAAATGTGAATTTGGGCAAGACTTTGAAAGTCTGAGTGTGACGCAATTGTCTTACATAGGGTCTTATGAGAGGACACGGAGCGTGAAGATCACTTCAGTAGGTTAAAAATAGGTTAGAATACCGAGTACTGGGTCTGGGAAGCAAAATCGTTGTATCGGAGTCACACCTGGCGCATGCATACGCGATTCCCGTGCGTTCACAAAAGCAAGTCGACTTGAAACTACTCATGAGTAGCCGGAATGCAAAAGCATTTAAACCCGAGTGAAACAAAATTGATGTGGTTGATCAGAAAGAATATATTAGTCCACAAAATGCTTTGAGAGCAGCGCGATTTATACGCAACTTTTCAAAAACGCACACAAGTAGGATCATGAAATTTTGCGTGCTTTTCTCCCTCTAAAGCACTTTACAGGTCCCATATGAGGATTTAAACTCACCTATAGTGACTGGGATCTGATCGTCCGGGGGGTTACACTGAACCGAAGTTGGATGGGAGCGATCGTGGGGTGTTGCAACGATATTGCTCTGTGCCCGATCACTGGTACGGTTAGCAGAATCAGTACTAGCTTCTGACTGCGAAGGTGGTCCAGAAGTTTCGGGTGGTGAAATAAGGGGCTGTAACCGATTGAGAGGTGTGAGATGAAATCAAAAGTTATGTTGAGGTCGTTTACGACAGGAGTCAATACATGAAGGTAGAAATTGAGCAATCTTGGGTCGGATCGTTGAAATGATCTCGGATTTTTCTCTGAAAGAAAAGTTCTGTGCTAGGAAAAAAGATAGCATAGGAAAAAATCTATGCTTGAAGTGAATGAGGATGGACAAGCAATAACAAATTTCGATCCCAACAGTTCATGTAGTGCCTATGAATGTGCATTGCTTTTAATCTTCCCAATTGTGGTGAAGATCATCTACCAGAAGAAATGGAGACACGTTATTCAGCAGAGTTGCAAAATCCTTCAAGTATGTGATTCGATACGACGACATGCAACACAAGTACATATTTTCATTATACACCAGCATGTAATGAATAGTAGAATGAATTGAACTAGTCGATGGGACCTAGCGTTGGGTTAAAGGAATTGACAATCTAATCCCTGAAATCTACAGAGAATGACACAAGAATACTGACAAAGTATTGAAAATTGGTTTTCGTAGCTCGAGTCAACTGAATTCTATTTTGCCTGTTCGCCGAGCTTGGCAATTGGTTTGCAAACCATCATCATCATCACCAGCCGAGGTGACACTATCAGTGCTTGTGAAGTGGCAGTCTTCTGCTTGTATCCGTTCGTTTGTGTTCTTCTCCACCGATCATTTTTGTCCCTTGTTCTCATTGTTCAACTCGGTTCGCCGTTAAACTGGTGCGTGGGGGTGAGTTTGGTAGGGGAGGTGGTTGTCTCTCCGGTCTGATTGCGGTTTTGGTCCGTTCTCAGGTCACCGCGTGACCACTTTTGTTGCGTCATCGGATCCTTGAGTTGCATTGGCGTTTACACGTGATCCAGTTCGATGTGCTTGTGCCTGACTATAATTCTGTTTTATCCGGGCGAAAATGCAGAGGCTTATCGCAAAATGTTGGTCTGCTTGTCTGAACTAATCATTTCACCAATCTACCCATCTCTTTTCGTCTTTTGTGAGTGTGTCGTAAAGGAGTAACCGTCTCATAATTAGAGCATAGCCGCCACTAAGGGCGTACACATGATAGGAAATCAGACTCGTCAGATAGATGGACTTGCTGACTCGATGTTGTTAAAAACAAATCTGTGCTACATGGTTGAAAATAACAAACATAAAAAGAGATTCAAAAACAAATTCGGTTTAACACAGAGGTGCTGTTGACAATCATTTGACGTTTTGATTCATTCACGAAATACTCATCCATCTTGAAATAGAACATATTTCTAGGTGGAAATTTAATTTAATTAGTAGTAAATCAATAGAAATAAATAATTCAAGTTGCATACGACTGTTTGGACGGGGAAAAACGATAGACGTATTGGTGAAGATTATTTGAATTTACTCCGCTCAAGGAATTCAATAAGTTTCAAAATAGACTGTTTTCGTATCCAATTTCCCAAGTAAACGCTGCTAAGTGATATAAAATGCTCTTTTCTGAATAGGCTATGTGCAGGATGAATGTTTGTTCATATGCTCCTATTATCGAGAAGCTATTGGCACAACCTAAATATCGCGTCCATTTTGCTCTGTCTTCAGAGCTTATAAATTGATACCTCATTCAGATACCCGATTAAGTATGAATGATTGAACATTGGTGTCCGATTATCTCTACAAGCCGAAAGGGGCTTTCTTCCTGGATCGATCGGTAATTTTAACTAACATCCGCTTTCATTGATGAAGGTTGTCATAAGCAAAGAAGACAAAACGTTGNATAACAATGGTTGCTACCTTGTCGGTGGTTACAGTCGTGTAAATCCGTCGATCCAAGATGAGAATCGAATCTGAGTGCGCAAGCATTAAAAACATTTGACCACTGGCCATTGATGAACGTGTTTCACACCCAATTGGTGCAAGTTTGTTGCATGTATTTCACCTCGATCGTTCCGGGAATAGTCCCCTGGGGTTAGTGCTGGAAGTTGTGTTAATAGAGAACCAGAGTAGAACCAGAAGGATGTCTACAAGGCGATTTTCCGAGCGGATTCCCATTCTGATTATACGTGAAAAGGCAATATTGTTAACTCTATTTATTATATCGTCATGCAAAAATATGTTACTTCTCCAAATT